AAAAAAAAAAAGGCAGGAAAGAATATAAATATATTTTAGGAAGACTGTCCTTTAGGAAAGAACATTATAATAAAAATGAACAGCTGTGCTATCAGTATAAGATAGATGTGTATATATATATACACATATATATGTATATATATGTACATATGTATGTATATATATGTACATATATATATGTATATATATGTATATATATATATAATGACATGGAAAGATGTTTTTCAGAGGTGTTATGTAGAAAAGCAAATTATGAATAGTATATATAACATGATCCCATTTTTGTTTGAAAGAAGATTAGTGAATGCCTAGAAGAAATCTGGGTAACTCTTCTGCATACTGTTAATATGGGTTAAGTCTGGATGATGGGATTAGATATGACTTTATTATATTTTCTACATATATTTCTACATATTTCTATAATGTTTTTAATTTATAAAAATAAGGAGGTATGTGTTTGCTAATCAGAAGAAACAAAAATAACAAAATAACCAGCTTAAGAAGGCAGAGAGGTATTTACTGTATTTAGAAAAATTTCAGGCTCGTTAAAAATGGGTAAGTGAATTTTAAACTTATGTGGAATTCAGTACAGATAATTGATTCATCATTGTACATGAACATCAGGCACTCTTTAGGCACTGGAGACAAATACTTCAGTTGGGTGTCAATAACTTTTTTCTGCATCCTGGTCAGTTTTCTGAAACCATTGAAATGGACTTACATACATATCACTATTGGGGTCTGTGACAAATTTTTATTTCTTTGGCCCCATCCCCTAATTCTTTGAAAGTGTATTTGCTTGTGGTATATTACAAGTGGGAGAATTAGTAATTTTCTCTTAACAAGCAAATTTATTTTTAAGATTTAGATTTTAAACCTACTGGCTGATACTTGAAAGCATAAACATGCTCCTCAGTCTCAGTGTATTGTTTGTAATTGGTCCAATTTATCTGATTCAGGTGCATTGTGGCCAGGTATGAAACCTGAAAGTGGTTTAATTCAGACTCCATCTCCAAGTCAACACAGTGTTCTTACCTGCACGACAGGGTTAACCACAAGCCAGCCAAGCCCAGCACATTATTCTTATCCCATTCAAGGTAAATAGGCATGGTTGTGTGTGTGTGTTTTAATTATTATTATTGTCTCTTGTTTTTAATCTATCTGTATCTCCAAACACATTGGGTAATACAAGAGTTCTGCCTTCTGAACTAGAGAGGGGTGATACTTGAATTTGTGCATGCTTTTTTTGTTAGGCAAACCAGAACTGAGGAGTGTGGTTTATAAGTAGTTTAGCCTCGGAATGTGAGCTGCTTAATGGAATTGAAGCCTTCCCTTTGCATGTTGGCATCTGGAAAACCTCTTTGACTTTTTTGTACTTTTCTTTTTAGTGGCATTTTGTCCTCTAAGTGAGGAGAAGCGTCCATGCATTAGAATTTTGCTGATTTCTTTTTATGTGAATTGTTGTATTGGCAGGTGAGATGTATGCTTTTGTGCTGTGGCTTTTCTACACCCCATTTACTACTTGGTGAGAGCATTTCTCTTGCTCAAAATGTTCATTCTTACTCTATTTCGGTATAAAGGCATAGCATTAGAGCTTAAACTACGTAACTTTGCCTTCAGAGTTCTTCTTCTGTAAAAGTTTAGATTTGTTGCAAGACTCTTAGGAAAGAAGACAAAAATCTCAAAAGACAGTGTGGAATTAATTGCCTACGCCTCCAAATCCAGCGCAGGCAATTTGTCGTCGCTCTGGACTGGTGTTAGTATCCATGAACCTGGCTTCTCATCTGCCTCCTGATATCTCCCAGTTTAAAATTTTATTCCTTATAAAATGGGTGGTAGAAGGATGAGAATGGGACAGCAAAAACCTGTCTGAGGTATATGAACTTTGGTGATCAAAGAAATGTTTAACATAGATTAGACTGAAGAAAAGATTTCAATCTTCAATTTTAACTGTTTTCAAAAATGATTATTCTGTTTAGTCCAGTGGGAACAAGAACTGGTTGCTGTGTTCCTTCCTAAGCTACCTTTACCTCCTGTTGACTGAGTCTCCCTGTTTTCACTTATTTTCCCTCCTTTCTAAAACAAGAACAAGCTAGGAGGGAAAAAGCTTGGCCTTCTCTACTACCACCACCCCCTTTCATTTTTATAAAGTATTTCTCAAGTTTGACATGCCTGTTAGGTTCAACCACAGGCAAGTTTAATAGCTAAGTCCTTCCTAAACAGATAGATCACTTACATTGTGACGAACAGCAAGGGTTCTTTTATATGTATTAATAACCCTCTACCAAAGTATAGAACCACCACTCCTCTGTAGTTATATTTAGAACTTGATAGCTGTTTCTTTCTTCATGCTTATAAAAAGAGATGAACCACGGGCAGCGCCTGTGGCTTAAAGGAGCAGGGTGCCGGCCCCATATACCAGAGATGGTGGGTTCAAACCCAGTCCTGGCCAAAACCTACCAAAAAAAAAAGAGAGAGAGAGAGAGAGGAACCAGCTCTTTTATCCCTTAAACTTCACTAGCCTTGTTATCTGTTAGCACGCTTTTTTCTTTGGATAGCTTAAACTGGTTTCCCCTCTTTTGCTGTAATGATAGTTGCTGGTATTTATGAAATTCTTACTGTGTTCTCGGCAATGTTCTAAGTAACAGGTAGATATTATGTAATCTTCACAACAACCCTATGAAGGAAGTAACCCCAATTTTCAGAGGGGGAACCTGAGGCACAGAAAAGCTTAAGTAAATTAACTCACAAAGTTAATAAATAATTAAGGTAGGATATAAGCTAGGCATTCTGACCCCAGAGCATGAGTGCAATATTTATGATTTTCAGTATTGAGATCATGGTATCATTGTCACCTCTCTCATATTTGAGAGTCGAAACTAACAAATATCTAAATTCATTTTCCTTTTTCTCTTGGCTCATTTTGTTGTTCATTAGAACTTTGGCACAGGATAGAAATTAAAGCAGAAGTTAACTATGAAGTTATCAATTTTTGCCATTTATTCTGAAGAAAAAGTTTGTAGAAAAACAATTGGCTAAAGTAAAATACAGGCATTATTGGAAGATTTTAATTTTTAAGTGGCCAAAATAGCAATATCCACTCATTTCACCCTCAAGCATTCTGCAGTTGGCAGTAGCCCATCTTCTCTGGGGAAATTATCTCAAGAAAAATTCCACTTCTGGCTTGATTAACTCTAATCAAAACCCTTTCTTTAGTTTGCACGTTGGTGATACCATAATGAGAAAGGACTGCCCTTGCGTGCTCATAAAAATCCTTTGAATAAGTAGATCTGGCTTGATAGTGTTAGTCATTTTCTAGATTGTCAGGTGACTGTGTGGCCCTATCTTTGGTCACTTTCTTCAGTTGGGGTAGCTTAATTGATTAAATAATACTTAAGACCTGGTATGGTGACTCACATCTGTAATCCTACCACTTTGGGAGGGTGAGGTAGGAGATTACTTGAGACCAGGTATTATAGATCTACCTGAGCAAGAGCAAGACCTCATCTCTACAAAAACAAAAATTAGCTGGGCCTGGTGGCATGTGCCTATAGTTCCAGCTACTTGGGAGGCTGAGGCAAGAGGATCACTTAAGCCCAGGAGTCCTAAGCTAAAATAAGCTATGACGAGGCCACTATACTCTAGCCTGGGCAATAGTGGGAAACCCTATCAAAAAAAAATCAAGTGGCAAAATTAATTTCAACTCAATCTTCTAAATAAAGAGTAAGTTCTTAGTAATTTTAACGCAGTGTTAACTTTTAATGAACATCTTTGGGCTCTAATAGTGTTAATGCATAGTAGTCTATTATATTTGACCAGGAGATTTCTTTTATTAATAGATTTTATTTTTTAGAATAGTTTTTAGACTTGTAGAAAAATTGGAGAGATAGTACAGAGTTCCCATAGTACTCTTTAGGTTCCCTGAACCTGCACACACTTGCCCTTTATTAACATCTTACATTAGTATGTCACACTTGTTAGGATTAATGAACCAGTATTAGTACATTATTATTCACTAAGCCCATAGTTTACTCTGATTTCCTTTGTTTTCATCTGATGTCCTTTTTCTGTTTCATGATTTTGTCCAGGATACCACATTACATTTAGTGGTCATGTCTCCTTAGGCTTTTCTAAGCTTTGTAGTTGTTAGACTTTTCCTTGTTTTTGATGGTCTTAACAGTTTGGAGGCGTACTGGGCACGGTGTATTTTAAGATGCTCCTCACTGGAATTTGATGTTTTTCTTCATGATTAGACTGGGGTTATGGATTTTTAGGAGGAAGGTCATGGAGGTTAAATATCTTTTCCATTGTATCATGTCAGGTGTACATACTACCAACATGATTTATGATTATTGATGCTGACCTCAGTCACCTGGTTAAAGGTTTTTTACACTGTAAAATTACTCTTTTTCCTCCTTTTTCATATTGTACACTTTGGATAGAAGTCACTGCAAGCAGCCCACACTTAAGGATTTATGCTGCCCTTCCTTTAAGGTGAAATATCTACATAAGTTATCTGAAATTCGTCTGCACAAGAGATTTGTCTCTTCTCCTCCATTTATTAATTCATTTAGTCATTTGTTTATGGGCCCATGGATATTTTAATTTATTCTTCGGGTCATAATCCATTACTACTTTACTTTCTTGTTCCAGTTATTCCAATTTGGCCACTGGGAGCTTTTAGTTGACTCCTATGCCTTTTAGCATACTCCCATTTTTTGTTTGTTTGGGTGTTGCTAGATTTTTTTTTT